ACCAAGCCTGAAATTAATGTTGCAACAGTTTGCCTTTTCTCCTGTCAAGATGGAGAGCTCCAGGGGTCTGGTTGTTACAGGACTAGGAGAGGGGCACCCCAGAACCCCCAATACCAACCTCCAATACCAACCTGTTGCATGGTGAGAAGTTCTTAACTGCATAAGAAGTAGCACTCCATTTATTCACTATGCCCCAAGCCCCCTCTTCCTCTTGGGTTTGGCAGCCTGTAGGGATGGTCTTCGTTTGCATTAATCATTTTCATGCACTTTGCACTCTGCTACGCTGGTATTCAGAGAAAAATGCTCCCATGACAACTGCCACAACAGATGGTATTTGATCAGTCTCCAAGCTACCAAGGAGATAGACAACAGGGCTTCTGAGGTTGCATATTTTACGTTATCGTGAGACCCAGTCCAGCCTTAATCATGATTGAAATATAAAGTTTTCCATTTGCCTCCTCTCTCCCTCCCCCCCTCCCTCCTTCTCTTTCCAGTTGTTGGCATGTGTTTTGACCTTGCTCCTCCATCTCTGACTGTCCTGAGTGGAGGGAGATATCTGGATAGAGAGGCAAAGGCTCCAATGTACAGCCTGTGGAATTAGCCCTGCAAGTCACTGCTGAGAAACAGCTTTGGGATGGAGATCCCTGCTATGACTGGGAGGAAGGTTCCATTGTAGTCTTTCTGGCATATTTGTGGACATCATAGGGCAGAAGCCACATGTGGCCTCCAACAAAAGGAAGTCTGGGGAAGTGCACCTTGATCTTGGTCTGTCCTCTTCCTCTGCTTCTCCATCATCCAGCACCTTCCTACTCGCAGTCTCCAAGCCACATTGTGGGTCCTCTTCTGCACGCCATACCTCTGTCCCCTCTGTTGCTGCCAACTCCTGCGAACTCCCAGGCTCTAAGACCCATTTCTATGGCAACAACTACAAAAGCTTTCTCACCCACAGCGTAGCTCCCTGCCCCCATCAGCAGCGCTGGAATGTCAGACTTCGCACAGATACTTTTCAGCTAATTTTGGAAAGTAGTTTATGTTGGCCCTATGTGTTAATGAACAACTTTGGTTGTGTTTACATACTTTGCTGGTTGAGTCTTTTTCCTTCACTCTGCCTCCCAGCTTCAAGCATTATCCTCATCTCCTATCTCCCACTATGTGCCGGATCACACACAAGCCATGAGCCTGTCTTCAAAGTTGGGACAAGGGTGACATTGTGCAGTGACAAGTGCCCAGGGTCTTGCCATCCAGCCATCCAGCCACCCCCTTGTGGGAGGGGGTGAGTGCTGGCAGTTTTAATGGTGCATGAAGATGAATTGTTTACCTGTACAGTATTTAGAAGGAAACCTTAAGGTGAATTTTAATCACAAGAAAGCCTGGATCAAAGAAACATTCTCCCCTTCTGATCTCATTCCAAGTGAAGCCGGGAGGTTGGAATCCACATCTGACCCTCTTCTGCTTTCCAGCTCCGCTCTGTTCCTGGGGTGCAGATGAAAAGAGCTTGGGTCTCGGCCTCCTTGTCAGGAGTGATTTTTAACCAAAATGGAACATTATTAAAGAGTGGATTTGAGACTTGAGGAATGTTTTTTGAACTCTTTCTACGAGCAGAGAATTCATAGTAGAGGGGAAAATTTCAAGATGCTTATGAATCATCTTTTAAATAATGACCCAAGTTCTTAGTTTTAGCATTTTCTGGGAGTGCAATCCAGAGATTGCTCTGTTTCATCTCCTCTTTAGGAAAAACCACTCGTGGTGCCCTGAGGCTTTCTCTCTTCACCTAATGGAAAAAGATTCTGATGCTTTCCTCGTTTAAATGATCTGTTTCTCCAAAATGGATGGCTCTGTGGTCTCTAGTGAGAAGGGCTGTGTGGATGTGGGCAGCTGGACAGGGAGAAGGACTCCAGACCCAGGCATTAGTGCCTGGCACATAGCAGACACCACAGGATGTGTCGATTGAATGGATGAGTAAAAGGCTCATAATTCAGATTTCTTAACCTCTACACTGTTGACATTTGGAATTGGATACTATGTCATGGCATGTGCCCTGCACATTGCAGCATTCTCGACTTCTACCCACTCTCGGGAGCCCTTCTTCCCACTCCTTCCAACCCAGTGTTCGAAGATATTTCCCACAATGTCCCCTGAGAGGCAAACATCTTTCCTCCCTTTCTGCCACTCTTTGTTCAGTGGGGAACTGCTGAGCTAAATTTTGAAATCCATTGCAAGGATGATATGGCTTTAAACAATCAGTAACAGGAGGAAGAATTATTCTAGGAAACTAATTCTAGTTACTCATCTCTTTAATAGAATTTAACATGGAAAGAAAGCCCAGTGAATGGCAATTGAAATACACCAAGCCTGACTAGCCTTCCAAGAAGAAATCGTCAGGCACTTTACGTGAGGCTGTGTACATTGATTGCTCCATGCATGTGACAAGTAAATGTACTATATGTTCCTTGGAAGGAAAATTCTATAGAATTACAGTATTGTAGTAAAGCAGTGCTTTTCTTGAATTTGTTGGTTGGGCATTGTTTTACACATTTAGTATTTCCCTGCTTCACTATCTCAGAAATAACTTATTCATGTCAGCTGACCCTTATGACCTTTCCCAGGATAGATATCAAAAGTACCATTTTTGATTTTGCATTAGCAAATTTAAGGATGGTTGGTTTTTATTTTTTCTCTTTTCCATGGGAACATAATTACCAAAGCCTTGCATATCAGCCAAGCACACAATTTTATTTTGAAGAAGTGGGATAGGATTATAGAAAGAGACAAAAGGTGGCAGAAGATTTTTATGATTTGCATACTAGTGCTCTTTGTGGAGGTAACAAGTCCTTTTGAGTAGTACTGGTATATTGCTGTTGTGTACAAGGGAAGAAATGAGGATGGATTTAACATCTTACTGAAAAAGGACTTTGGAATTTGGAGATAGATTTTATTGTTGTTATTATTCCTACCAATGAAAGCAGATTCTCCTAGACATTTTCCTTCTTCCTTTCCCATCCCTCTTTTCCTTCCAAGGTGATAGCACCTGGTTGTCACGGTCCATCATCCTGGAGCGGGAAAGAAGCAGAGTCTCAAAATAAATCTCATTTTTACTCCCACTTGATAAGAAGTGACTTTCTGTGATGGTGATGGGCATAATGCAGAGCATTAGCTTTATTTTATTTGCAGGAAATTGCATTCTCCCCTTTCCCTAGAAATGAGAGAGTGTTTCCCCAATAAGCACCCTTAAAGGCGAGCCTACAGCTCAGAAAGAGATGGGAGCTTATGCTAGAGAAATTGCAAGGATGGGATGGAGTAAGGTGGGGACCTATGAGCTGGCCACTCATGGACAACTGTGACCTATTTGCTATCAGCAAATCACAACAGAACATTCCTTGACTACCTACGGCATATAGCCCATATCGTGAGATAGGCCCAGGGACGCCTCGGTTGCTATTGACCTGATTTCGTGGCCATCCCCAGAGCAGTCTTGGGATAACTCTCTCAGTGATAACATCATACATGTAGTCACAATGTCCTCTTCCCTTTCCCCTGTAAACTTTGTCCCCCATTCCTATCCCACCCTCTGAACCCTATTCCTCATACCATTGTCACATAATTGGCTTTTACTATGCTGTATGAATTCAGTAAATGGCACGAGAACTTCTGCTTGAACAGCAGAGTCTTGCAAACCTGCTCCACGGCTGCTGTGTCTCTCATCCTGTTCCTACCGCAAACAGCAAGAACTTCCTGTGGCAACAGAGTAATCCCTCAAGCTCAAGGTTGAGTGGATTCTTCTAACATGAACACAGATTTATTCAGGTCCCATGGCTTAATTTGAAGCATTTGGAACATGTGAAGTTGGGAAGTTGAAAGGAAATGTCAGATTTCAGGGAGTGGGGTAGACATGAACTTCGGGAAGACTGTCTTGGATGGAGCCAGACTCTCCTCAAGTTAGAGCCCTTAAAGTGCAGATAGTTGCTCTCTTGCTGGCTATGAAGGAGGCATTAGGATTTTGCTTGGGCAAGGAAAGAGAGAAAGAACACAGGTACCTGTTCTGACTCATGATAAATGCTGGTTCAAGACTGGTTCGACTTCATAGTGATGTTGATGGAGCCTGAGAAGTCACGTGGCGAAGAGGGGTGATGGAGATGAGTTGGGGCTGGGTGGGGGGGAATCTTCTTTGTAAAACACAAGTTATGTGAAATTCCAGATTCCTGTACCAATTGAAAAGTAATTTCTTTTACGTATGGCCACCATTGACATTCATCAAGCACAAACATGTTCCCGTAGACAAAAAAAATAAATAATAAATAAGTAGTCTGAGAAGTGAAGTCAAATCAGACTCTTGGGAATGACTGAGTTGGTTTTCCTTGAGGGCTGGACATCATCCGCCCCCTGGCTGTGACATCAGCCCTGGCAAACCTAGAGACCTCCCAGGCTATAGCTGGTGGGGCTTTCTTGTCACCGAGGACACAAAGGGCAGTGTCTTGACAGGGTCACAGTCCTCCCTGGTCATCTGCAGTGCCCGCTATCCTGAGAATTTTGTGAGTAAACACTGCCCAGATTCCTGTCGCACTTCCATTCACTGTTTTGCATTGGACGGCCTGCCTCTTTGGTGGCTGGGAATTCCTCCCAGCTGCTGGGAGGTGGGTGGGTCTACCAACCTTGTCCCCGCTTCCATTTTTCTGGCAGCTGCTCAAATTTTCAGGATTGCACTGGGCCAGCGATTAACAAACGATTCTACCCTGGTTATTTTTGGCAGCCATGAGCAATCCAAGACCTTGACTTTTGGTACTGTGTGGTTGGGGTATTAGGTAACCTTTTCCTGTGCAAGTACAGACAAAAGAAAGGCCTGACCTACGGCCACTTATTCATCCGGCAGGTCCATGTCCTTGTTTTTCCTCATTGAGAACCTTAGCGAATGCACAGTGAACCTTCCCTGACACGGTCCTTTGTTTCTAAGAAGAGATGGCGGAACATTTACTGAGTAAATTTTTTTTTTTCTCTCTCCCTAGATTGAAAACATAGACGCCTGCTTGAATTTCCTGGCAGCTAAGGGGATAAACATCCAGGGGCTGTCTGCCGAAGGTGAGTCAGAGCGCTCCTCATGGAGCTGCTTTTTCATCAGCAGAAATGCTCACCTGTTACCTGTGACACAGTTAAGATGGAGAGGAGGGGCGTGCTGGTGGGCACTTCCGGTGTCGTCCTTCTGGTTGTGAGATGGCCTATTGCTTGTCTGAACTGAAGAGGGCCAACTTCTTGACAGCGGAATCACTTCCAGGATGCAGATGAAACCCTGCCAGCCATGTCTATAAGCCACTGAGACTCCTTTCTGAGAAGGGCTTGATCCAACAACACTGATTTGATTCCCCTGATTAGCAGTGCTGAGCCAGGCCTAACGCGAGGGAGAGAGAGCCACAGAACATACTGAAATCATACGCTTCCAGGGAAAATGCTTAATTCTTTTCTGTTATTTTTATTAGAACAAGAAACCCTTTTCCCAGCTTTAAAAAAAAAAAATGCGTGTTTTAGTAGAGAGGCTACTTTACAAGATGCCAACGAGGAGGTCTTAATTAGCTCAAATTTGTGTCTCGTTAGCAAGTGAGCATTTGCTATTCAATTAGGTATTGGTCTAAAGGTGACTGGTTTGAATTCTCAGCCTCCTCAGGCAACCTCTCGCCCTGGAAAGTCTCACTCTCCTGTCCCTAAATACAAGCAGCCGTTCTGCCCCGCATCCTCCCAAACTCATTAGCCAGCACCTGCCTCCAGCTTTCCCAGAACAGGTAAAGTAGTTTTGGCTTCAGATGGCACCACCTCTCCCTTGCAGGGTCGCTTTTTAAAAACATGCCCTTTGGCATTGACAGCTGTGGTCAGGGTGGAAGGGAGGGGAAGCAGTGAGGAAGGAAGCAGCCCCACGAACAGGTAAATCTACACATCGATGGGTTCCTGTCAGTACCTGTTCGCTGCCTTTGTTCTGCTGTGGTCTCATTACTGGGTTTCCCTGGCTCTGTGGCTGAACTGTCGTTTCTTCCAGTACTGGGGCAGGTGGCCCCTGCTGGTGCCTGGGAGCATGTTGTCTCTGGGTGGGACTATTGGCTTCCCCAAGTGGGACCTTGAAGGTGCTAGGCCTGTCCCAGGTCAGGCGCCATGGCACTGTTTCCAGAGTTTTCAGAAGCAGCTTTCCAGGGACCAGCTCTAATTCCAGCTCTGAGAAGAAGGCAATTGTTGGGGTGCCTTGCTTCGGGGTGTGAGTCCTTCATGGGGTTGAAATCCGGGCTGAATGACATGTGGCATGTACATTGCAGTGTAGGAGGGAGGGTGGGGAAGGTTGTTTCCATGGACAGGTAGAGAGATGCCAGTTCCCATTGTGAGAAACAGCTTATTTCTTCCCCTGGAGAGTTCTTGTGCTGGCTGGCAGGTGGCTGGCACATGCTCCTTCTAGTCTCGGGGAGTGATTGGAGCCCTCAGAACTGTGCCTCTGGCAGAGAGTCAGCAGGAATGTTTTACAGAGTCATGTTTAGCAGAAAGGGCTCAAGGGGATGTAGACTCTGGAGGTTAGCTTCATCCCCTGTGGCCTGAGCTGACTCCTGGCCATCTTCCCGTTGTCCTGCTTTCCACCTCGTTTATTATCCACATCTCCATCTCTTCCTCTCTATACCTTCAGATATAGAGCATCTTCTCAATAAACACTTGTTGCGTGAATCAAGCCAACTGTGCTTTTAAGGCTTTTATGTGTATCAGCTCCAGCTCTCATGATTGAAGTTGGAATTTTTTTTTAAAGATTTATTTATTTATTCATGCAGAATTGGGGTACAGGCCAGAGATGCGGAGGGTGAGAGGATTCACCAGAGACAGAGTGGGGAGCAGAATAGGCAGATCAATGAAGTACACTGCTGAGGGGAGCAGCGGGCGGGTCAGGAGAGGTCTGCTGCGCCATGTGGATCTCCTCCGGGACAGGCGGGGATCGAACTCATGCAGAATCAGCTTAAGCTTCTTAGTGTTGTGCTTTAACCTGCTGCGCTACCAGGGAGGGCCCTGAAGTTGGATTTATAGTATCCTGGGTTTATACATGAGGAGACGCTGGCTTAAAGAGGTTGTGGATGGAGAGGTTATGCAGAGAGAAATAAGACAGAAAGACAAATACCAGGTGGTGGCACTTATATGTAGAATATGGAGTAAAGAAACGAAGTCGGGTAAAACCAAACTAATAATAAACCCTAGAAACCTGACTGTAGATTTGCGGCCACTGCAGGGGAAGAGGGAGGAGAGCAAACTGGGAAAGGGGCACGGTGGGCTGTGGCGGAGAACTTTCTGTGCCTCAGTGGTGACTGTGGTGTGGTAACATACAGCTGAAGGGTGTGACCCTGTGCCTCTGAGTTACATACCATGCTGTCAGCCAAAGCTCCTTCAGTAAGAATAAAAGGAAAAAAAATAATAAAGAGAGAATGCTTGACATCTCCAAGATCTGTAGCTAGCGAGTGGCAGAGCCAGGATTTCAAACTTGGCATATGACTTGAGAACTCGTATTCATGGTGTTTTGGGGGAAGCAGATGGGCAAAATCTAGGCATGCCACATCCAGGCAGTCAGAAAAGACCTTGAACAATTTGTTGCCTGGAATGTTGGCTCAGAAGGCATAGCTGCCCAGGACGGCATATCCTGCAAAGAGCCAGTCAGTTCCTGCCAGTGTTGGGAAGTGGCCTTTGTGGGTCTCCAAGCATATAAGAGTGTTTGTAACCAGGGGTTGAGGTGTCAACTCTTAGGGTGCAGCGATGAAGGGGCTCATGCCCCTCCTCCACTGCCAGTCTTTTCTGCTGGATCGACACTCTCTCACTGTTACTATGCTACAACCCGTAGCTCTTCAGTCATGCTCAGTGATGAGGACAGTTTTATGTCAATACTTAGGAGTCAGTGTTGTTTTAAAATTCATCCAGAAACTCTACTGAAAGCTCTTTCCCCCCCACATGGAAGTAGCAGAAGATTGAGGAAAGACAGGGGCATGCCCACTGACTTCCTTCCCTTCTCTTCCCTTGTTCCTGGACCTCCAGAGTTGAGGTGATTTAGAAAAGGCAGAATTTTGCTGGCTGAAACGTTGCCATCCTCCTATCGGTGGATGGGGCTCTCGGTCCCATGGGAGTGTGTGGTGAAACTCTCTCAGCTTACCCCAACTGGTAGCGTGCATGTCTCATCCCCCTGATTCAGGCCCTTGCTAGTCCCCCTCCCCCACTAAGGTGGTCCAGGTAAGACTAAAATTCAGTCTCATGGTCCCTCCAACCCCTGCCATAGAACCAGCAGGAATGTGGGGGCTCCCTCTTGTCCTTGTAGCTGGTAGAACAGGCCCCCTGTCACCTGGAAATCCCTGACCCCAGCATCTCTCTCCAGCTCTTTCCCCACTTTCAGGTGACCAGAAAGCACATCTTCAAGTCCCCCTGGCAGATGTCCAGTTTGGGGCTAGGCTGCCAGCACCCTGCCTGCAGTAATGCGCGTGGAGCTTCCACTGCCCTGACCTACTATGTTGGAGTCCCCACTTCCTTGCCGCTTGGCGAGGGGAGGAAGTAGGCTGTCTTTGTGATCATTCTTATCTGCATGACATTCCTACCTAAATCTTCTCACACTGGCTTTGGGAAGTAGGGGATGGTGGCGATGATGGTGTTTGGTGACAAGACTCTGAACTGGTACTGTCTTGTTGGAAAGCGACTGGCCCCAGCCTTTGCCAGCAAAATGAACCTATGTAAACAAGGGCACTCACCTCCTCAGCTGGACCCTACTCGCAGGGTTACAAGGAATGTACCTCACTATTAGGTTAAAAGAAGAGAAACCATTTTGTGACAGCCAACTTTGCTAAGTGCTGTCTGTGCACATTTCTGTCTTATTTGATTTCCCCAGCAAGCTCTTGAGATGAGTATTCACATTTGCCCTCTCATACAAAGAGTAAACTGAGGCCCCCAAAGGTTAAATTTCACATGGGAAAAGAGAAGCCCATCAGGTGAGTGGCTAAGCTGTTCACATCTGCTGATTCGAAAGCCTGGTATTTCCGACCTCTCACAGCACCACCTCCTACCCACACTGTTAACCAGTGGCATAACTACCAGAAAAGCATTAGAGTGTATGGAAAAATAATGTCGTTTTAATGCTTTTTGTTTTCCTTTTGAAGATGACTGAGTGCCCCGAGGCTCCTCCTCTGATGAAAACATCAGCGGTGGAAAGCCCCATAGCTTCAGCCCCACCCTTTCCCAGTGACTAAATGCGGGACTTCGTGCACCTGTCCTTGAAGCTCGAGCAGCCCAGGCGCTGCCCTGACCTGCCTCCCAGAGCGCTGCAGGAGCTTGTGTTCCTGCACACAGGCAGTGAGGTCTGCAGACCCCGGGGAACTCCAGGGGGAGGCTGTGGTGTGGGGCAGTTTCTCTGGACTAGGCCTCCCACCCCGTCTCTGTGCCCGAAGGCTGGGCCCATCCTTTTGCTCTTGGAGACTTGCCAGAGTCCTGTGAGCTGGGGCCTCACCTGGCCGTGAGTGCTTTTCAAGATCCCTCCTACCCCTCCCTGACACTCTCCACCTGTCACAATCATCTGTAAACTTGTCCCTAGGAGGGAGGAAGGCCTCGACCCCTGGGAGTTTTTGAGAACACCTGGAGTTTGTCCTACCTGGCCCTGAGCCCATCTTCCCATAATGGAGAAGTGGAGTTCTGGGAGTATCTTATTTAGCTCAGCAAATATTTGCGGGGCACAGCCTATATGCCAGGCCTGGTGCGATAGACTGGGATACATAGTGAATCTCATTTGTACACACTAGCCTTAATCTCAATTAACAGGAGAACCATGTTTGCGGTTTATCAAGAATCCAATGGTGCCCAAGGAAAGGCAACTGATCAGCTCTGCCTGGGGAAGTCAGGGGGACGGTTTCACAGAGGTGATATTTCCCCTGGGTTTTATGGGATGAGTAGGCATTCACCTGACAAAAAAGGAAATGAAGGGAAATCTAGACAGAAGATGAGACATAAGTAATATGATGAGGGCAAAGAAATACCTCTTGCCAGTCTTGCGGATCAGAGAGACAGAGGCGCAGGAAGAGCCTTCTAGCTATCTCTGGAAG